TCTATTCTTGACCACAATTTTCTCCGAAACGACCAACCTAACCTTAAAATCTTTACGATATGGGCTTATATATTTATAGAAGGTTATTGATTGTACTTTTTATAAAAAATACAACCAATAACCTTTTATACATAGTTAAATTATTAGAAGATTAGTAAATTTATTTATTTTATTCACTAATATATTTTGATAATTTTTTTTTATTTTATAAAGTAAGTGTTTAAAGTTGTTTTTGGAATTTTATGTTTTGCTTACATAAACTTCATATATTTTATTCACTAATATATATATTCAGTTAGTCAATTCTTCAAGTTAGTCAAGTTTCCTAAAACGCCTCACAAAATTTTTTATGAATATAATTTGCGAATAATATTTTAACAAGTATAATTAAACATGGGCTACAATATGGGGGTGTATCTACATTGGCTACGTCATGGGTGGAGGGGCTAAGGAGGCATTTTCCCTCACCCTCTTTCAGAATTTGTAGTAAGGACGATTTTTTTTTTATAAAGTAAGTGTTTAATAGTTCCTTTTGGAATTTTATGTTTTGCTTACACAAAATGTTTAGTTAACATTTAAGGAGTGCACAGTGGGCCAGCAGTGAGCAAAAACTAAAGAAATAAGCAAAACCAACATTTAACAATTCAAAAATTTTTAATCCGTTTTGAAAGTGAGTAACCTGAAGAAAATTTAAATGGTTTTAATATTATGTTTTAGTTAATATAATTATTGTTAAATTGATATTATAATGTTAATATTGTTAAATTGATTTTATATGTAGTTATTAATTTTGATCACTTTTTCATGTTTCTGGCCCACTGTGCAGTGGGCCTAAAATCATTTTGTTAAAAAATCACTATAGGGCAAAAGCGAACTTTTTTATTATTTCCAAAAGATGTCACTAATATTTCTAAGATACAACACATTATATATTATAAAAACAACATTGTTGTTGCAAATAATAAATAACATTATTTATAACTGCGTCACTTGGATTTGATTTACAATTTAAGCGGATAAAGAACCTTGAAAATAATGGAAGTTTGAACGGTATTTTATGAAGTGCACCACCGCTTTTGTGAAATATTATGTTCATAGTTATGTCATTAACATGGATTTGTGAGTTTTATTATACTTCGCTTTACCGCGTTGAAACGCGTAAAATTAAAATATGATAAAGTTCTGGTATA